AATAGTTATAACTTGACAAAATCATTCAACGTTTCCTTACATAATTATTTTATTCATTTTATTTTTAATATTAAACGATGTGTTGTCCTATGACTTATTATAATACTTATTATTACTAATTATTTTACTAATGTTTGATTTGTTTTAAGGTTTATAACATTTATACCTTTTGTACCTATATTGATTAATAATGATACTCACCCCTTTTAGGCCTGATGATTGACCCTGGGTCCTTGGACGCCAATTATTAATTATATAAAAAAAATTATATGGTACAGACTTTGAGTAATTTATTTTATTTATGAAAATGTTTAACAGTTGAATGCCCTCCACAATTTAATTACTTTTGGTTTTTTAAACCAGATAACGCACGTTTTTCAATAAAATTTCATAATTACCTACTTAAGGAAGTAGTATGCAAGTGGTGCAAGGTTATCACTAATTGAATCCCGCTATGCCAAAATACATACAGGGTGTTCCAATGTATGCTATTCCGTAGCTTTCTTAGGTCAGTGTTAGGAACTTCTATTATTATTTTTTTTTTCGATTGGGGCAAAATTTAGTTGGGGTGGGGGTTAAAGGTAATAAAACCCAGCTAGCACCCTCTACGAGGTAGGTTTATCAATTTTTAGCCATCTACTTAAGAAACCGACGAAAATATAATAAAAAACGTATTTTTAAAAATTAGCTTTTCCACCCTCTATGAACATGATTGTCCCAATCGATAAATAATAATAGAGGTTTCTTACACTGACCTAAGGAATCTATGGTCAACGGATTGGCCTACTTTTTTGGGACACCCTGTATACCACTTTGTCAATACTTTTTAGTTTCATCCGGTCCCCGTACCCCTTAAATCGATGAACAAAAACCTAATCATGTAACAATTTTAGATGTGACGAGAGTTGGTTTTATCTTGAAGACCCGGAATTCCCAAGGTATGCAATGGAAGCTTAAAAAAGTAACTCAAGACCAACGTAAGCAAAAGCCGTACATAACTCAACAGTTTTTAATAGAACAATTTAATTGGGAATGAAAGTTCATCTCCCTACTGACCTAATCATAGCGATAACATGAATTGAAGCGGAATTAAAGCACCGTTGTAATTATTATGCAACAGACTCAAAACAAAAAGGAATAAGTGAATTGCACATAATGGAGAACACTTTGAGGGATAGTTCCCAGAGTGTTTTCACTTCTATATTACTATTGCCATAAATTTTGACTATCCCCGTATTTAAACTGAAAAGACTCTTGTATTTGCAAATTTCACAAAATCTATTCAACTTCTCCAGATAGAAGTCCGATTTTCCAAGCTTTTATTAAAAAAGAGAAGTTAAAAATAAATCCGCAACCAACGAAATTGTTTTGTGTTTATTCAGATATCGAACGAAAGCCAATGCTCGAAAACCCAAGAGATTAGGGTTATTGTTAGGCCCTCAAAGGCTCAAGTATAGATTGTTCGTTGGTTGGTGGAAAAACAAACAAACTGTAATACGCAGCATCCTTCGATGCCTTGTTTGAGTCAAAGTTCATAGTCTTTGGCTCAAACTCCGCAAGTTTCGAGACTATATTGTGGTTTTCAACAATTTCTTGGAATAAGTCGACCGGAAGAACAAAATATCCGGAGAATAGTTCCCTATGTTGTAATAGGCAATAATTTGGGAAGTTGGGAATTCAAATGCATACAATCAAGTTTTGAATTTTTAGAAAAGAACATGTTATTTATAAAAGGTTCTATTGTAAAATTCACAAATAATTTTTGGATTCTTTAAATTGTAATACCTACCCATATTTTTTTACGTTTTCAATATGTAATATTTTTGTTTTCAGTTTACGATTAATCATTAATTGTTTTCCCTTATTAAATAAAGACATCACAAGATTGACCATAACATATTAGGAAACTAGGAAGAAAACTAAATGAGTAAACATCATTGAAGACATATGAAACTCCAATAGCATATCAAATATAAATAAACTAAGTCAATTTGTTAAGAATGTGACAAAGTAGTCAAAAGAGAAATGGAAACAAGAAGGGGAATAAAGAAAGACGAAGAGAGCGAAAAGAGCCGAAAAGGAAAGAAGAGAAACATAAAATATGCAACTTTTAGTGACATTTAATTCAGCACCCACTTCACTTAAAGACCAATTTTCGTACAATTTTGCTATGCAATTTTGTAGTTTTAACGGTTTCCTAATGTCATCCAGTAAATCTAATGTCTGCATTTTTTCTCGACACAATGTCCCAAATATCGAAAAACTAAAATTAAACGGTAACGATTTCCCTTTCTGCAAATCTATTAAATATTTAGGAATGGTTCTTGATAAGAAATTGACATGGAAACTACATATTGATCATATGCTAAATAGATGCAATAGGGGTTTAAATTTCTTGAAATCAATATCGAAAACCTGGTGGGGAGCGGATGTCGAAACTTCTTTGTTATTTTATCGATCGTATATAAGATCTATTTTAGATTATGGTTGTATACTTTATGGATCAGCAAGCAATCACATTTTAAGAAGAATTGATGTCTTTCAAAATACGGTACTTCGCATTTGTATAGGTGCTATGAAATCAACCCCTATCGATCCACTGCATGTCGAAGCATTAGAACCTCCATTATGCTATAGAAGAGAATATCTTAGCAACAAATTTCTGATAAAAGTCCGATGTACAAATCCTACCTTGTATGCTAGTATTTGTACATTAAATCATTTTGATTTAACCCAAAAATATTGGATACATAAACAATCTCCCCCACTTTGTGAAGCTTTTAGAAATATTAGCAATTATGAGGATCTCATCAGTATAGATCAGTGCTTAGATTTTGAGGATTTCTTTGCCTTTTTTAACAATGTTAATGTTATACAACCAATTTATCATGAAAATGATAAAATAAGTTCCAATATTTTGAACTCACAACTAGAAAACTGGCCTGATTCTACAAAGATCTACACAGATGCTTCTAAAACTTTAGCTGGTACAGGATGTGCCTTTTTCATCCCTTCTACATCTACAGAGAACGTTTTTAAGTTACCATCAAATTTTTCAATATTTAGTGCAGAAGCAATTGCTATATATGAAGCTTTAAAATACTTTAAAATATCTAATAATAATACTGCAGTTATTTTATCTGATTCCCTATCTGTATTACTTGCTATTCAAAGTCCAAAGTTTCCTTCCAATTTATCAAATGCTTATATTTTGCTCATTAAAAAGATACTATTCGAAATCCATAATACATCGAAAATGGTTCAATTAATATGGGTTAAAGCACATATAGGGCTCAAACATAATGAATATGTAGATGTTTTGGCTAAAAGCGCAACTACCAATGGCTTACCGACAGGTTATCAGCTGTGCAATTTGGATGCTTTTGCAATTGAGAAACAACGTCAAATGAAAAATTGGAGAAAATCTTGGAAAGATTTTTGCAAAACCACTACAACTCAATATTCAAAAATACAACCAAAAATTCCGAATGTGCATTGGTTTAAAAACTATTCACTTCCTCGAAAGTATATAACAACTATCATTAGATTGAAATTTGGACATGCATGTTATCCAGCACATTTATTCAAAATCCATGTTATAGATTCGGAGATATGTACTATGTGTCAAGAAAAAGGCGATCTAAATCATATTTTCTTTAGTTGTGCAAACTATACCCAACAATCTCAAGATCTGACACAAGATCTAACTAAAAATAATGTATTTCCTCCATTTAACATTTGCCATCTCCTCTCACTTAATCAAACAAAAATTTACGACCTCTTGATAAAATTTGTGTATGAAAGTAAAGTATGTTTGTAATTAATATTAGTCTTGCAACCTATGTTCTAACCCAATTGTTATATACCTACCTTTCCGTGGCCTAGTTTTGTGTGTAAAAAAAATGTCTTGACGGGCCCCTAGACAAGAAGAAATGTTTTCCTTTGTTTATTCCTTGCTTGCCTTATCTTCTGTTATATATTTTTCTTCTTTTCTTGCTTAGGACAAAAGTGTGTATGATTGAATGGATGTATTTAGAGTGATAATGCAATTTAAACTTATATAATTTATTCCGCGACTGGCTGAATGGCAAGTGCCCAAGCCAAAAAAAAAAAAAAAAAAAAATATGTTCAAAAGTTAATTTAATTTTGATATAGCCTTTGATTTTTTATTGTAAAGGCGGGTACAGATCTGAGCATGAACGCGTATGAGACAAGCCAAGGCAAATGAACATGAAGATGTGACGGACGTCCAACGCGCGGCAAATTATCTCGTTGTATGCGCCGTACCTCGCCCCGATCTGTTTGTTTGCAATCCGCAGAACGTGCTCAGTCTGGAAAATTTGTACCATACAATAACGAACAGATCATAGCGAGTTTTCAAGGTTTATTTTGAATGGAGTGGAGTCTGGAAAACGTTTTGGTTCTCCTGGAATAATATAATTAGCGAGATATCTTATGCAAGACATCCTCCATTTTTGTTTTAATTTTACGAGTATTCTAAGTTATGTACGGTTTTATTCGAATTCACTGGATCAGTGGCGAACAATGTCTCGTGCGTCCACTATTTGTGAATAAAAATGGGCCGCACGAGGCATTCGTTTCGGCCTCGGCTTGCCTCGTATGCGTACGTGCTTAGATCTGTACGTGCCTCAATAAATAAACGATTTTTGTAGTTTTATGTACTTAGTTGTTCATTTAATTTTGTAATAAATAAATTGTTATTGTAATTTTATATTCTTTTAATTTTTTTATTGCACTTTTAATGTACATAAGACCGATTCGAAAAAACGGCACTCTAAAGTATTTTTTTCTCAATTATCTCCCCTCTCTTTGTAACACCACTGGCTAAAGCCAGACTTACACTTATTTCACTAAAAAATCTCATGACAACCAAAGAGTCTTCACATTTGGGTTAAGCCGACTGTATATTATTCTCGTCAAAAAAATGTCTTACTTCAACAGCTATCTTTCAATCAGTTTGACGTTAAAGAAAAATTTTGGCCATATATTTAGTTTTGCTAAAATTCAACATTATGCTTAAATACGAAACATGTCAGCAATCAAGTTGAACGAAATCCAAGATTCGAAGTTAAATATAAAAGCAAAGGAGCAAACTAAACCAAAAAATTCTACAGAGAAAGATGTAATAAAACCACAGAAAATTGAAATCTCGACAACCACAAATATTAAAGACCTAACCAATAACGTTCAAGAAAAAGTTGCTGACAAAGATGTTACAGGACAAGATAACAGCAATAATCCTGATACTGGTGAGAATTTAAGCAAATCAAATACCATTGACAACAAAGGCGATAACAGTTGTGAAGAAAATTCGATTATTTTGAAAATTTTAGAAATTAAATCCCAAATTGAGAAGATTGAGATGGATATTCGATCGAAAACTAAAGATAAATTACTAGTAGAATCAAAAATTATAGAAGAAACATTGCTGCAGTATATTATTAAATTAGATAATATCGATACCAACTCTCTTGACAAGGTCAGAGATTTAAGAAAGAAGACAATTTTGTATACTCAGGATTGTTTAAAATTGTTTGATTCTAAAGTCCGGTGAATCGAATAAATATTTGGTTTTTGTGGTAAATCTGTTTCATAATTTAATACACAATTGAGATTCAACTTGACCAAATTCATCTTGATCAAAATGTAGTGGTATACACTAAAAGTCTAGTGATAGAAGACAACCTACATTTTATTGATATAAATCATTAAAGATGCATAATTATTATTTTCTTAATTGTTATGAATTAAAATATGGTCCTTACATAGAGTGTAATAATATTCAAGGTAGCCCAACGAAAACTTGACATGGGTATAAACTTTTGGGTACTAATATCGTTCATGTTAAAAAACATTCAAACATTTCGATTTTAGTTTGGAGGGGACACTTTTTTTCTTATTGAAGCATCGTCACTTCAATCTTTGAGCAATAGGGATGGCACATCATTGAAAAAGTAATTTCATGGAGAATTCGGCAATAAGACTAGGTATTTGTTGCGTTACTTTTGATTTTAGCGCCGTCTAGCTTGATAAAAAACTGTAACGTATTGTAAAGTGTGACACTTAATTTGAAAGCTAATTTTATTACTAATTCAATGCATCACATATCATTAATCTAAATGTCTCCATAAAAAAAATCTTACTGCCGAATTCTCCATCAGATTATCTTTTCAATGAAGTGTTATCCATGACACTTTCCCTATTTTAATTGCAGTCCACTGCTCAAAGGTTGAAGTGACGATGTTGCAATAAGGAAAAGAAGTGTCCCTCTCCAAAGTAAAATCAACCTGCCTGAGCGTTTATTAAAATTCACGATAGTAATACCCAAAACCCTCGTGCCAAGTTTTGGTTGAGCCACCTTGTATATAAATATACAGGGTACGCCTCTAATTGTGAAAATTTATAATTTTATCATAGAGAAGTCTTTCATCCTTATTTTTTCTTTTAAAAATATTAAGTAGGGTAGTTGAATTTGTGAAAGATATTCAACATTATAATTTAAATAATGTTAAGTACTTCTGTCGGATAATCTCACTTATAGTTAAAAGAACGTAGAGAAAAAGGATACAAATTTCACTCTCGTGGGCGTTGTATCTTTATTAGCTACCAATAATTATGAGTATTCTGTAGTTATGGTTTTCACAACAATTTTGATATATTTAAAATGTTGCATAAAATAACAATATTTGAACTTTATTGAGTCTCTGGGCACATTTTTTTGGTAGAATTCGAATTCCCGACTCTTGGATCTGAAAGTCTAGACTAAAACCACTAAGTTAACCAACACCTTAAGATTAATTTTAAGTACATAGGTGACATATCTTCTATAGTATATTATATAAATAACTACGAGTATAATTTAATTACAGCACAATAAATTTGTTGTCCAGGGTTAGTCCTAGATATTTGACTTTGTTTTTCGTTCTATGTATATCTATCCCGTCTTATTGGACGGTTTTAAGATTGACTTCTCTTTTGCTTAAAAAAGGCTACTATAATGTTTTGTGTTTATACTATTTCCCACCTCGCGGCACCTAATTCTGGTCTGTTCCAGTCCTCTTTGGATTATGTCACAAAACATATGTTCAAAGTTGACTATGTCGTCGGCATAACCTTGGCAGTCAATGTGTAGACGTTCGTATACGCTTGGACATTAGTGTGGCCATCCTCTAATTGTTCAAATAGTGATAGTGACCTACCCTATCTAAGTCTCTGTAGTTCTTATAGATAGTAGTTGAGCCATCCATTTGGATCTGGTGTCTACTCCTCTGTATTCCAGTGCTCTTTTGACAGATTCGTGTGGCGTGTTGTCAAACGCTTCTTCTATGTCTAAGAAGGCACACACGACTGTTTCTTTTTTGTCAGTCAGCTCTACCAGAACATTTTCTGTCGATCTTCCTGATCTGTACGCGTGATGGCGTGGTGGAGTGGCACCCACTCCATGATTTCTGTTCAACAGCCTTTTCCACTGTTTGTGAAAAACAGCATTTAAAAAATCCAAACCACGGTCTATCATTAGTTAGAAAGTATGGGAGTTTGTAGTTATTATTTTACTGAATAACTGCAAGCGCCAAAATGGAGCAGTTGTGTGGCCATCGTATCTAAATCATTGTATTTTTTTTTTATTTTAATGATTTCCATACACAGTTAAAACTTTTGAAACATTTTCTATATTCTATAATTATCGTAGTCGTACCTTCTGAACTATTCTTCATTATTTCGCCCCTAATCAGATCAACTCAAATCCTCTTTTTATTCTGTTTTAAAAAGATTTTCGCGAAATATCCCATTCTACCAAATTAAAATGATGATTTGCGTTTTCATTAGGTACGTTTTCCTTAATAATCATTCAGACAATGTTTCAAACTGGAAAACAATTACGACTACAAGCGAATATGGCGGCAGTTGGGGAATATCTTGTTTAAAATCTCTTTTAAAAATTGCCTCATAGTCTTTTTAAAGCAGAGTTAATAAAATAAAGTTATACAAACCCAAGTTTTATTATCCTCGAATTTATGGGGAGCATCTGCTTCACAACAGTGGGAAAGGGTTTATTTTTTAGCTCCGGGTGGTAGGAAAGTTTGTCAAAGTAGAAATGAAATTTTGTTATTCGTTCCATTCGCTGAAAAATTTTAATAGAATAAAACGGTTGGTGAAAATTGTCAAGAGCATATTGACTTTCCAAAATTCTATTAATTGGAGCCTTATTAATTCGGCTCGAAAGACGAATGATAATATATGTCTATACGGAAAAAAATTAGTACAAATTTCTTAAATTTGTTTCTCTACAATACACATAGTAGATACATATAAGAACAGGGACAATTTGCAGTAAAAATTTCCAAATATTTGTACACAATGTTTTTTATAGTTATCTCTAATATTATAATGAAATTACTCAGAAAATGTCAATATGCGTATTGAGAAATGTTCTACAAATTGTTGTAATTTTCACTATTTATTGTATGAATTTATATATTGCCTTTAATGAAAATTAATAAAAAATGTTATACAATACGATATTTTGAATCACCTCTTAATTTTTTATAAATAATAGAAATTCAAACAAATTGTAGTAACGTTTAATAAAATTTGTAGTAGTATTTTACAAATATTAAAACCTAGAAAAAATGCGCCTCGATTAAATATTTTTTTTTATTTAACAATTAACGTGTCTCAACAGCTATTGTTATTGACACGATATTTGAAATTGCAATAAATGAATAAAAGCTCCTATTTTAGACCGACAACGTTCTACCCCAGGTACCCTATTCTCAAACTCAGGAGAGTAGTCCTTAACAAATAAATTTATGTGGTTCCCACTACAAAACACCCTGTATATGAAAAGAGTACTGTGCAATATACCAAAATACCAAATCGAGTAGTACTTTTTAAAAATATGCTTCCCAGATGTCACAGTAAAATTAGTGACATTTTGTAAAAAACTACCGTCAAACATTTGTGAATCACCCTGTAATTAAAAATATTTTCAATTATACTTATGTAATAATATATTACTAAAACATGTATTAAACTGTGTATGCAATAGAAATTCAGTCTAGCTCGTAAGCTGGAAAATAAAAATTCCGAAAACTGGGCAATTTTCAACTTTAACGTATATCGTACAAATACGATAACTATCGTACGTCTGGCAACAATGCTCTCATCAATCATATGATACCAGCCAAATAGTGAGGCAGTAATCGCCTACTTACACCCTTAAAGAGCTTAGTTGCAGAGCTTCAACACGTTAAAAGTTCAAAATTTTCCATAATTCAAAAAAGCCTATAAATGTTTTTTTTAAACGTTATCTACCCATACTCTTTTTAATAAAAAATATGTTTAATGTCGTTTTATAACTTTTGTTTTACTTCTTCCAATCATAATCTGGCATGACGACCCTGGCATTTAATATATTTGCTGATACCTGATATTGGTTGCTGGTAGGGCTAAAAGTTATAGCGCTCTGAATATATTTAATTGAGCGGTCAGATTGGACGATGTCGCTCGCGCTCTTAATACGAAATTTTTACATTAAAATGGACTACATAAAATTCAGCCTTGCTCCTGTGTAGACAATGTCTGTTCATTATTTTAATAGTATAGCCAGTATCCGGATAATTATCTGTTTTTCGGATAATTTCGTATACCGTAGGATGATTTCCGGATTAAGTAATTTTAATAATATTTTCGGATAATTCGGTGTTCTACAAAATAGACGTATATTTTATAATACTTGGAATTTATGAAAGTATCAAATCATTTTAATATTAAATAGGTAAATATATGTTCTATATAAAAAATTATTTTAATCGCGACACTGTTATAATACTATTAAAGCATTTATGTAAATAAAATTGACTAACAATGTGGTAATCCTTATGTGTAGAATAATCGAATTAGGCGATTTCCCTAAAGCAATATGGATTTCCCCGACAGTAGAGTACATAAATAAACGCTCTGCCTGCAGCGGTCTTCTTTTTTCTTTTCTTAATTATTTTACCAAAATAAGTAAGCCATTCATTCTGAAGAAAAAAAATCTGCTTGTCTAAAGGGCGACTTTTTATAGAAAATCTGGTTAAAAGTTAAAAAATTCGAATTTCAGTTAGACATTCTATTAATTTCAAATAATTTTAGTTCGACAATCGGATATTTAGAATTTTTCCATTGGTAATTAGAGCCAAGTTTTTCAGGCCCGGTCCGGCCGTAGTCCGAAAGTCAAGCATTACGGCCCGGCCCGATTCTGCTATTAAAAATAAATTGTTAGGCCCGACCCGACCTGATACTGATTTTAAATAGGCCAGCCAATACATAACGCTTACTATCTACTGTGATTCTTTCGCTAAATGATTAAAAAATAAAACAAATTAATTTATTTAACTACTTTTAAAATGTTGTTAATTTTAGTTTTTTTAATATATAGAGGGTGCATAACTAGTGGCTTAGCCCGGCCTGGCCCGGGCCCGGCTTTAAAAATCATCGTTCCGGCCCGACCCGTACCAACCCGCAGCCCGACCGAAACGGGCCGGCCCATGCAGGGCTCTATTAGTAACACTGTAATTTCAGGCAGACAAAATTT